AGTGTGTCTGGTGCACAGCTCTCTTATGTCAGGAACATGTGTGGCATGGGTCCACAAGCAACAAATCATGTGCACACTACCATCTTCACCTCAATAACAGACCAGCTTAGTTTGTTTGTATACATGACGACTTTCAGTCTAGATACAGACTGGGGTAATGACGGGACCTTCTATTTGGGCTAGATACAGGGGTAATGTCTGGGCGATCTATTCAAGCTAATACGGTAGGGGTTTTCGTGACTGAAACTGGTCAGATTTGCTACTAAGAACATTCAGCTGGTGAGATCATGTCCTATTATTATTTATTTATATACAAGAAGTCCAGTGGCTAAACCCCTTTTTTGGTAAAGGAGAAGGGTAGGTGAGGTGGGGTGCGGATATATCTTTGGGGCATAAAACCACGGGCTGGTCGAAGTGTGATGTGTAAAGGTAGTCTGTTTTTTAGTTTGCACTAATTTAGGTCATTAACATTGTATTTGACAGTTGCCAGGGCTGGAAGGCCTTCAACACTACCGGTTATTGGGCATTATCTGGTCTTAAATATGGTCACGCACATTCTTAAATGCCTCCCAGTGGGCTGAATGTGTCACTGAATGTTTAGACACCTATGGGCAAGTCTGGAAAGGTTATTATCAATGTGTGCCATGACAAGTTCTGGTACTTTCTCACACCGATTTGTTTTTCTTGGGGATCATCTTTCATTTGCTAGCCTCTCGAACAGGTGGTCATTATAGCTGTACTTGGGGCAATATTCAGTCTAGATACAGCTATAATGACTGGGCGTTCTGTCTGGGGGAAGATAGTGGGGCCGATATCTTTGCCTATTTTCTCTCCTCACCAACTGCCCCTCTTTCGTCTTGCCAGAGCGGCTAGTAGAGTAAGGGCCCTCAACTTTGCCTCTTTTCTCTCCTCACGCTCTGCCCAACTCTCCCTGGCACCACGACCTCCCACCTCCACCCGCTCTACACAAAAAATTGTCCTTGGGACATCCGTTAAAATTGGAATATAGAGAAGATTAGCATGGCCCCTGCACAAGGATGACACGCATAAATTGAGAAACGGTCCAAAAGAAATAAAATAAAAAAATACCATGGTTATGCTGGACTTAGACACTGCGGGATGCTTGGTTGTACTTACGTCTGGAAAATTCCGGATGTCCGGAATTGTGAAAGGAAAAACAAGAAGTAATAGAAGGCGCGCAATAGGGGAGTGAATTGGGTCTTACCTACCAGAAGGTTCACAAATAATCAGAATCAATGTCAGCCAGATAAACAAGTGCAAAAAGGCTAAACCATATTTTTGGGGGGTCAGCATTGAACCACAAAAAAAGAGTCCCCTTTAAGACTTGCAGGAGTGTATGTGTGACCGGACATCCAGATACAGACCGTCTCGACAGGGATCTCGACTTCTGGATCGTACCCGTGAAAAATAGAGAAGCAGAAAATAGAAGTGATTTAGCAATGAATTAGAAACAGTAAAAGCATAAAAGAAAAAGGTAGGAAAACATGTAAGACCATGTGAAGTCCGTGTGATTGCATCCTTGTCATGCAGACATGTTCTGTCAGAGAGATCCATAACTGTAGCTACTGCAGACAACGAGTACCTACCTTGGCAGTGCCAACTCATCTCGGTACGCGTAGGGCACTGTTACCCTCTTCAGCCGAATAGAACACCCTGTTATAGGGCCTCACCGCGCTACTCTCAATGTGCACAAAAGATGGAAAAATATGGTGGTGTATCTTTCCATGTTCTTGTGCAAGATTCAGTCTCATTTGGCACGTCTGGCGAGTAGTGGATCTAAACAGAAAGTTTATTGGGACGTTGTATGTGGGTGAAGAAGGTAGCGCATAGACTGTTGGGGAATCAGACAGAGGAGGCTGCTGTTCGACACTGTCTTTCAGTTGGAAATTAGACAGAGGAGCCTACGGTTCTATTGTTATGGCAAAGTCACCTGCTTTTGCACTTTTAATGCAGACTCGGACTACAGTCTTCGCCCAAGTAGAATGCCCGGTCATTATCGCTGCATCTGCACCGAACATTGTGCCAAAGACAGCTATTACGACCAGGCATTCTATTGGGGTAAAGACGGTGGGGCTTTCTGGAATGTATTCCATCGGAATAACACCCGTATTCGGATGAAGAAATATGGCCCTAGACATCAGTGATGTTCAAGTGCCGTGTCTGAGGCAAGAATGACAACACAGTCCATCTACTTCGCCAGTAGCTGCATGCCTTCACTACAGCTAGCCCAGGCTGGGCCTGCATTCCTCTCTGTGATCCTCCTTCAGAAGATTCTCTCCTTGTGTCTGACAGTTGATGCCAGGTGGCAATACCCTGCCACACCCAGTGGTTGGTGCAGTCTGTACAAGTTTCCTTGAGATTCCTTGGTGCTCTGTCAGCGTCAGGGGGTGCTGCGCAGCAGTTGGAATAGTATTTTACTGCTCTTTTTTTTTGCCCTTCCTTTCTTGTAAACAAAAAGGTGACGATCCGCTGGTGGTATCTTTCTGTATTTCAGTAGTTTCACCCAAATAGAACACCCAGTCATCATAGCGTATCTGGACTAAAAATTGGACCAAATTCGTCCAAATTATGGGGTGTTTTGTTTGAGTGAAGACGGTTAGGCCCGTTGGTTACTCTTTGCTAGTATTTTCTACTCCCATTAAATCTTTTAAATGTCCCCTGTTTTTTGTTGTTCTTAACTTATCTATATGTGCCAGTTGGAGTCTGGATTTAAGGAGGTTTGTGATACGTTCAGGTGCCTCATCATCCATAAATACGAGGAAAACAGAACACGACTTCGTCAAACATACAGCGCCCTCCCCTCGTATCGGAGGGCGAGTGAATTTGGTCTGGTTCTGGGAGAAACCATCCTCAGCACTGATCTGGTTTTGTTAAAAAAGCATGGTGAAAGCAGATTAAAAAGAGAAATGATACACAACATGCTAAAAAGAGAAATAATACACAACATGCTAACAGCTGATCGGTTTTTTGTTCTTTCAAAACATGTTTGCCCAGAACCCCTAATAACATCACCAACACCCCCATAGC